CTGGCAACTATTTTTAAGCAGATGTACCATAAAACGTCATTATTGTTGAAAAGAAATTTATAAACTTTTATCTTACTTACATCTATTTAATATGCTTGTTCTTAATATTTATGTTCAGATTACTCATGAAAGATTCAAGGGACATTAAACAGCTAACCATCTTTTGAACTTAGCTTTCCTGCTGACAAATTCTACAAGATGATAGATGAGATAAAATGAGCTTATGTGACTTTTAGTAAACCTCAGTAGAATAGAAGTATTATACTTTATGATGCTAAGTCTAAAGACATGCTCATTTTATTAAAGCAATAAAATTTTTAAAAAATATTTTATTTATTTATTTGACAGACAGCGATCACAAGTAGGCAGAGAGGCAGCAGAGAGAGGAGGAAGCAGGCTCCCTGCTGAGCAGAGAGCCCGATGTGAGATTCAATCCCAAGACCCTGAGATCATGACCTGAGCCAAAGGCAGAGGCTTTAATCCACTGAGCCACCCAGGCACCCCTAAAGCAATAAATTTAAACTAGCATTTGCTTACTGAAGATTATCCTAAATCATGTGAATTTGTAAAACATTTTTGAAATGTTTTGAAAAACATTATTTTCTAAATTTCTGAGAGTGTACTTGACTTATACAAATGCTTAATTTTCTTTAAACCAATCAGATAGAGCCCTCTTTATAGATTAATTTTGGCAATACCATCTGGAGATAGGAAAAAAATCACACATTTATAACATGCATACAAATATAGACCTACAGATAGATGCAACCAGAGGTTTCATAACCTTTGTTTTAAAATTTTAGTTATGAGGTTGCTATGATAAAGCTTTGGTAAAACCATGTGACAGCTATGATAAAGCAAAAATTATCATATGATTTCACTCATATGTGGAATTTAAGAGACACTTGGATCCACATTCTTTTTCTGGTAGATTGAATAAGTTAAAGTTAACTGCTCAGATAGTTTAAACTTTTCATTAATATTTGTGAAAACTTTAAAGATTTTTCATTTGCCTAATTTCCAAATAGCCTTTCCTTTTTTTTTTTTTTTTCTGATAAGAATTATATTCTAAATGCAAACTGGTGCAACACTCTGGAAAAAAGTATGGAGGTTGCTCAAAAACTTAAAAATAGAGCTACCCTATGACTCAGCAAAAGCACTACTAGGTATTTATTCAAAATATACAAACATAGTGATCAGAAGGGGCACCTGCACACCAGTGTTTACAGCAGCAATGTCCATAATAGCCAAACTATAGAAAGAACCCAGATGTCCATTGACAGATGAATGGATAAAGAAGATGTAGGCTATACACAATGAAATACTACTCAGCCATCAACAAGACTGAAATCACACCAGTTGCAATGACGTGGATGGAACCAGAAGGTATTATGCTAAGAGTTATAAGTCAATCAGAGAAAGACAATTATCATATGATTTCACTCATATGTGGAATTTAAGAAATAAAACAGATGAACATAGGGAAAGGGAAGGAAAGATAAAATAAGATGAACATTGAGAGGAAGGGAAACCACAAGAGATGATGAACTCTAGGGAACAAACTGAGGGTTGCTGGAGGGAAGGTGGGGGTAGGGAAGGGATAATTGGGTGATGGGCTTTAAGGAGGGCACTTGATATAATGTAATGGTCACTGGGTGTTATATGCAACTGATGAATCACTAAATTCTACCTCAGAAACTAAAAACAAAAACAAAAACAAAACAAAAACAAACAAAAAAGAATTACCCATCTAAAGTTTGCATTTCAAAGAGATAGATGGGATAGGAGTTCATAGAGAAGAGTGGGTAGTATGTTTTTATTTCAAAAGCACAGGGGAAGAGTGCAAGTTCCTCCAAGAAGGACTTCCACTTCCTAAATCCAGAATTTGACAATACCACAAGCCTTCTGAAAAGAATACAGGTGGTTTTGGAAGTGGTAAAAAGGATAGGTGGGCTTTGAATCACTTGTAGAGTTGCATTTCTGTTCTTGCAAAGAGTCAACTCATAAGACAAAAACAGCTGTTTTTAATTCCTCAAAGAACTGGGTTGCAGCCTGAATGACATTGAAAGGTTGACCCACTCAGCCAACTACATTTTCTTCAGTTGGTTTCTTTATATCAGAGAAAATACCTTCCACTAATTTACAAATCAAAAGAATCCATGTTCTAAATTTATGGCTATTTGTCTTTGGAATGTTTTTCTTCTCTTCTGAGTATATAGTTTCATTTAGCTCAGGAGAGAAGACCTAAAAAATTTTCTATTGGGCTCTGAATATCAGCTTCCAATTTGGTCAACTTCTGACCATGGAGCTATTTAAAAAAAAAAAAAACTTTCAAGGGTGCCCAGGTGGCTCAGTTGGTTAAACAACTGCCTTCAGCTCAGGTCATGATCCTGGAGTTCCAGGATCCAGTCCACATCAGGCTCCCTGCTCAGCAGGGAGTCTGCTTCTCCCTCTGATCCCCCACTTCTCATGTTCTCTCTCTCAAATAAATGAATAAATTTTGGAACCTTGAAGACTTTTGGAAGCTTCTGCATACCAATTAAAATAGCCCATTATGTTTGTTTGAGTTGGAAATCTTACTTTCAAGTGCATTTCTTAAATGAATGATCTTGTCAAACTAGAGTGTTTCCCATTAAAGCCATTGTAATTCTAGCTTGTCTTAGTAAGATTTTGCCATTTTTATAGATGCCCACAGCTTCCGGGACTGTGGTTCTTAGACATCAACTAAGCAGGTATGCTGGAGAATGACACGCTTGATTCTTTGAAAACTGAGGATCCCATTTCCTTAGTTAAGCCTTACATCTCACGGAACCAAATTAGTAACTACAAGGGATGTACCACTGGGTTGAGGACTGTGCAGTGCTTTACAGTGTACATCACTGTAGCAGCTGAGCTACCCAGGTATCCCAGGAAAAGTGAGTTTTATAGAGCAATAGAAGAGGCAACTAGAAAATAGCTTGATTGGCTAGAAGTTTGGGGATTTTCCTATGAGGTCTGCAGGTCCTATTTTCTAGGATAAGGTAAGCTATCTAAAGCTGAGTTGGAAGACTGTGATTGGTGTTTGTAAGGTTTCCTTGACAGGTGTTTCCTGTAAGCGCAAGCTGACTTAGGTTTAGATTTTGTGTCATGGGCCAGGCCACTGGCAGTGGGGCTTCCATTTTGTGGGTCTTAATATACAAGTTAACTTTATCAGTTTCTAATGATATTTTTGAAGTATTGATGTCAGATCATTGGAGTCTTGTCACTGGTCAAGAAATTCACTTAAAAATCAGATAAGAGAACATCTGGGTGGCTCAGTTGGTTGGGCAACTACCTCAGGTAGTTACAGGTTACAGGTTATAATCCTGGAGTCCTGGGATCCAGTCCCACAAAGGGGGGGGGGTCCCTGCTCGGCAGGGAGTCTGCTTCTCCCTCTGGCCCTCCCCCATCTCGTGTTCTCTCTCTCTCTCTCAAATAAATAAATACATTTTTTAAAAAAATCAGATAAGAGCTGGAATTAGATTGGGGTAGGAACACTGAATGGGGCCAGTAGTAAAAGCCTGTAGCTGAGGGTTTCTGAAGATTATGGATCTGAGAAGAGATTTTACAGTGTTAGTTCCTTGAGTTTTGCAGCTTGCTTCCTATGAGGGCATTTGGGAAAGAGGCCCCAGGAAGGGGCCCAAAGAAGAGCAATTTATTTTCTAGAGATGTTGAGGGTGAACAAACAGTGATGAAGATGATGACAGAAAGCAGAAAAAGGAAACCAGCCTTCCACTGGATACGCATGATGCACCAGGCATTTTGCTAGTACTTGAATTTTCTTTTTTTTTCCAAAGACCTTGAGTGCATTGATTCTCTACCTGGGGCAATTTTGCCTTTGAGAGGACATTTGTCCATGTCTAGAGACATTTTTATTTTCACAACTAGGGGTGCAACTGGCATCTAGTGGGTGGGGCCAGAGATGTTTCTAATCATTCTACAATGTACAGGATAGTTCCTCACAATGAGAGCTATTTGACCCAAAATGTCAAAAGTACTGAGGCTGAGAAATCCTGCTTGAAGGGTAGGCATGATTACCTTCCTAGACAAGCAATCTGAGCTGGCATTCAAAACTAGACTTATATAGCCTCAAGGCCCATGCTCCTTCACCATGCCATAGTGATAGAAGCAGTGATGGGATTGAAGATGGTAAAGATAAAGAACCAGGGCACAAGTTGGTATTCAGAAGATTGTCTGTTGATCTGTTGTTGTTGAAGGAACAAGCAAAAAAAATGAATGTGAGAGGTGCTTGGATGGCTCAGTCAGTTGGATGTCCAACTCTTTATTTTGGTTCATGTCATGATCTCAGGGTCTTGACATGAAGCCTCATGTCTGGCTTTGTGCTCAGTGGGGAGTCTTCTTCATCCCCCTCCCTCTGCCCTTCCCCCTCCCCTTGCACACTCACATGCATGAGTGTGCTCTCTCTAATAAATAAATAAATCTTAAAAAAAAATAAAGGAATGAATGCTGGAATAAGAGGATGAGCATTACCACCCTAGTGCCACCCTGACACACATCCTTGTTCTTGCTCCACAATCCAGGAGTAAATCAGAGATTATGATAACAAAGAAAATCAAATGATGGTGGGTGGCCTCAAGCCCACCATCACCAGTTTCAGGAGCATCTGGGCCTCCAAATGGAGCTAGAAGTCAGAGAAAACTGGCTGCACCCGCTGCTCTGTTGCCTTTTCTAAAGAGATAGGAACAGATAGGAAGTTTTGAGCTGAATTGGATGACTATTCCCCTCCTACTCTCAGAGGTTGAGCCTAGCTGTGTCCCAAAAGAAGAGGAAGTTGTTTCCCAGTTTCTAAAATTTCCGTGAATTTGGAATTGGGCTGAGCCAGACCTGTTCTGGGAAGCTCCGAATCTTCTGGGAGGGAACAGTGAAGAAGAAAAAGGGTGGAAGGGGAGGAGCCTATGATGAAACAACATTTCTTTTCACTTCCTCTTTTGGACTTCAGAATTTGTCTGTCCTCTCGGGTACAATCTGTCAAGTCTCAAGAGAAGCCTCCGCCTGCCACCCTGGTGCTGCTGGAGCCAACGTGAGCCACAGTTGATGCGGATTCCCTCGTTCCTCCCCATCCCTGTTGCTGCTGGTGACTGGGCCGATTGCATGCCCTGCCATCCTTTGGGGGACATGCTGCTGTGGACAGCTCTGCTATTTCTGGGTGAGTCCATGTCCTCATGAGGGATAGAGGCAGTTGTACTTTCCTAACTCAGCTGCTGCTTCGTCAGGTTGGGCTGAGCTTTGGCAAGGATGAGGGGTAGCATGGGAACTGTTCAGGAAAATGAGGAGGATGAAGCAGGCTGATGAAGACAAACTCTGACAGACCCACTGGCCTTGGCAAATGATAAAACTGGCAGAGTGTTTGTTGTAGTTTTTAGTGTCTTTTGCCCAGTATCACTGGGCAGCCAGGTCCCTGATGTTCTGCACCACCTACACCTGAACCTGCTTGAGGAAAGTCTAGTGACGTGGACTTGAGTCACTAATGAGTGGCCAGGGTGTTTTCCTTCCTTAGAAATTTGTGTTTCACAGGGACAAAATCTTAGGTGGAAGGACGAATGCTGTCTTAGATAAAGGGTGGGGAGGAAGCAATAGGACACTTGGGGTGGAGGTGGAAGTAACCATTCTCTGTTAAGCAGCAGCAGCTTATTCTGTTTATGTGTTGGATTTCCCTGGGAAGAAGCAAAGAGGGTCCGGGTTATCCAGGGAGCAGGGGTTGAGAGAACACACAACCTGGGAAGTTCTAGAATTGTCAATTGTAGGGCTGGAGAAATCATGCATACTTCCTTGTACACACACATGGGGATAGGTCCTGGCTGTGATCAGGGAGAAAGTCAGGGTCCTAGGTCAAGATGGAGGCCAGGGACTGTTGGTGCCAGTGGGAGGAAGTCTAGGAGGCCAGCTAGGGGAGCCTTATTGCTAGGATTATCTCTCCAAGCTCAATTCCTAGAGTTCCCACCCTTAAATACACCTTACGATGGCCCCAGAGGAAGACATGGAGCCACTCTTGAGTTAGGTGCTATGACTGATAGTAAAATCTGGTCATCTCTGGGAGCCTTCGACCCTCACTGCTAAATGATACTGAGATAAGAAGTGGAGGTGAAGAGGAGAGAGTATTCCTTCATGAGCAGGATGAAATGGACTGAAGTTGAATAACATGTGAAAGGAGCATTGGACTATGTCATTTTTCACATGAAGGAAAGGAAGCTCAGACCTTGAGAGGTGATAGATATGCTTGTCCATCTCAGCCACCAATGTGCCAGTCGCCTGGGCAAAACTTGATCTTTTCTTGCACTTGCCCTTTCATTAAGTCACCCAGGATTGGCTCCATTTTCCCCATCCTTATTTGGAGCACTATCTTTAGGTCTTCATACCTCAGTAGCCAGGGGGTATAGCTCAGGGGTAAAGCATTTGACTGCATCCCTCAATAACCCAGCTTTGACAACACCTCTGGCCCCATCTCGACTGCTCCTGTCTCCTCTCCTCTGAATCTGTGCCGCACACCAAGGCCATGACGTCTTCAAGTGCAGCTGAGTCACCACACTTAAATGCCTCCAGGGCTGCTCTGTTGTGTACTAACTAAGGCCCCCATTGCCCCCTCTTCACTACATTCCCATTGCCCCAAGTGGCTCTTCCTCTACAGCCAGGCAATGTGGACACTGCATTTCCTGCTTTCTACAGATTCCACAAACTGCCTTGTTTAAACTTTAAATAAATGCGTGAATACGCCCTGTTCTAGGACTTGGAGATTTACCAATGAACAAGACAGACAGCCTTCCTGACCTTAAAGCACAAGGTCTTTGTCTGCCTTACAATGACTCCATTGAGTGTGTTTTCATGACTGTTGATTGAGTGTGGAATGAATAAATGGCTGACGACTTTTCTCCACTCTTCTCATCTCTTTCTTGTTGCTCCTCTTCCCCTCCTCTTAGGTTCTACTTCTTTCTACATCATCCGTCTTGCCAATCTGCCACACTCTGGTTCTCAGCTATCACTGCTGTGTCAACAACTTCCAGACCTGTCTTTCTTGCTTGTGTCAACTACAGTTTTGTGTTTCCACCTGCTGGTTGGACACCCTCACACTGATATACCGGCTCAGAAACAAACTATATTCAAACTCAACTTATCTTCCCCTTACAGATGTACTCCTCTTCCTAACATTTCTATTTGTGTGAGCATGAGTAACCTTTTCCCTAGCCATCCACTCACATTACCCTCACTCTCATCAAGGGCCAGCTTCCCCCAATATTGCCTCTTAAATTTCTCATGTGGGGGCACCTGGGTGGCTCAGTCGGTAAAGCATCTGCCTTCAGCTCAAGTCATGATCCTGGAGTTCCAGGATCAAGTCAGACTCTCTTCTCAGCAGAGAGTCTGCTTCTGCCTCTCCCTCTGCCCCCCACCCTGCTCAAGTTCTCTCACTCTTTCTCTCTCAAACAAATAAATAAAATCTTAAGAAAAATTTTCCCTCATGTGCATATATTCTTCACATCCTATTGTCAATACAACTGTGGCCCTTTTTATCTCCCACCTAGACTCATTCAATAAGTGATTTCCCAGAGCACTGGCAAATAAAATTGATATGGCTGCTGCCCCCTTTGACCTTCCATTCTCCTGGGAGATATAAACAACAAATAAATGGATAAATAGGCATACATAAATTGGATAATAAATTGGAAAGGGCCACAAAGATGTAAACAGTATACTGTGATAAGAAGAGTCTTTGTGGAGAAGAAGAGAGGATAATAAACAGGATGATAAGGAAAGCTTTTTCTGAGGAGGTGACACTTGAGCTGGGACTTTGAGCAAGGCAAGGATCTAGCCATTTGAAGAGATAAAGAAAACTGGGTCTAGAGGAGGGATCTGCATACACAAGAGCGGCAAGTGAGAATTTAAAGAGGGCTGGTATTATGGGAGCTCAATGAGTAGAAAGGAGCGCAGTCCATGTAGAAAACAAAAAACAAAACAAAACAACCCTGAGAAATCTGGCTATGAAAGGGAGCAGAGAAATAATTTTGGAATTATATGTGGGATCGAGTGAGAAGCCTTTTTTTTTTTTTTTTTTTTTAATGAAAGATCTGGACTATGCTTATGTTAATGGGAAAGAACCAGCTGAGGAGAAATTGGTGATGCAGAAGAGCATGGGGATAACAGCGAGAGGGAAATCCTTGTGAGGGTGACAGGGATTGCGAACCAGGGTGGAGATTGATCTTGGAGAGGAGGAGAGAGACTTTCCTAGGGAACAGCAAGAAAGGAAGTTGGGCAGAGGGGCAGAGAGGTTAGACATTTGAGTTGAGGGAAGGTGTGAGATTTCCTGCCCAACTGCTTTTGTTTTCTGTGAAAACATCCACTTTAAGCAGGAAGGGATTGGAGGCAGAAGACAGGAAAGTTCTGGGAGTGAGGAAAAGATGAGTGTCCCTGCTGAGAACAGCAGAGCAAATTTACTAGAAAAATGTGTCAGAATGGCAGTTTAATGTCCTTTTGAAAATGGTGACCCCTAATTTTTTTTTTAAATATTTTATTTATTTATTTGACAGAGAGAAATCACAAGTAAGCAGAGAGGCAGGCAGAGAGAGAGGAGGAAGCAGGCTCCCTGCTGAGCAGAAAGCCCGATGCGGGGCTCGAACCCAGGACCTGGGATCATGACCTGAGCCGAAGGCAGCGGCTCAACCCACTGAGCCACCCAGGTGCCCCTGGTGACCCCAAATTTATAGAGATACTGATCCATCTGCTTGTGTGCTCATTTTAGTGACCCACAGATGAACAAGTAAAGGCATGGACTGTATAGCTGAATTTAACAAGAGACAAGGAAGGGCAAGGGGGTTAAGGGGATTTGCATGGAGGGATTTTTTTTTTTTTTAAGTGATTCTTGTAATGATGAATCATCAAATCTAAACTCTGGACTGATCTTCACTTTCTTACAGCTCCAGTTGCTGGGACACCTGGTAAGTGCTCCACCACATCCTCTCCCTCCCCCAGCCACACTCTTCCTCTGCTCCCAGCACCCACTTGGAGGTGCCCTGAATGCACCAGTAACCTAGTACTTGGGTGGGGCCAGGAAGCAGATGCCCTGCCCCTCCCTTTCCCTCTCCCTCTCCCCTTTCTCTTTTCCCTCCTCCCAGGGAGCCCAGGATAGGCAGCAGGTGCTTGAATCCTTCTGGTTCTGTTAGGGTGAGACGTCACAGATACTGTCACAGAAAATAGCTCGTCCTCTCTCTCAGTAAAATCAAGACCCCAGACATTTTTAGTCTCAGTTGCACACAAAATCCCATCATCTGCCAAGGTTATCTCCCATATTGATAAATCCTCCACTTTGCATGTATCCGAGGGCTTCAAGGCCTGGAAAGAAGTAGGAGGAGATACCCCAGATTGCAGCTTGGTGTTGTAAACTCTGCCGGACACTTCTTTCTCTGTGGCAATTAACTCCCTGCCTCCCAGGAACCCCAGGAGGGTGGGATGTGGTTTTCCCTGAGGCACTGAACCCAGGGCTCCCTAGACTGGCCCTCCAGCCTTTCTCTTTCTTTATCCTTCTGAGGACACAGAGACTCCTCTGTACTTGGGTGTGAGGATAGGTCTATTCTAAGGGGCAAAGATTGACATCAGGTTAGAAGAGAAACCTGATGTCTGACTCATGCTGGATACCTCCACCAGATGCCTTCATCCAGCTCTGGAGAGAGTTTATCTAATATCCAAAACACCTCTGTTTATAGGGGAAGAAGGTGAGTTCCAGAAAGGTATGTATGTGTAGTATGTGTGTGGGTGCACATGCATGCACGTGCATGCGTGCGTGTGTGTCTGTGTGTGTGTGTGTGTGTGTGTGAGAGAGAGAGAGAGAGAGAGAGAGAGAGAAACAGAGGAAGGAAGGAAGGGAGGGAGGGAGGAAGGAAGAAAGGAAAGAAGAAATAGGAAGGAAAGAAAGAAAGAAGGAAGAAATGAAGGAACGGATAGGGAGGGAGGGAAAGAGAGAGGGAGGGAGGAGGGAGGGTGGGGGTGGGGAGGGAGGGACGGAAGGAAGGAAGGAAGAAAAAAGAAAAGAAAGAACTGCCTCAGGTGACCCCTGTTGAGGTATACATATATTTCTTATGTTTCTTTTACCCCTTCTTCCTTTCTCTTACCTTGCCCTCTCTTCCTGAGGAAAGGTCAAGCTCCCTGAGTGGACCTGGCTTCCTGTAGGCCCCTGTGGTGGGACGCATGAGTAAGAGGAATTACCTATAGTCATACAACAGTACGGGGCTTCACTGAAATTCGGGGGCTGCTTCGGCTCTTGGGTCCCCCTTTCCTCCTGCTTCTTCCTCTCTCTGCCCTTTAGCAGGTCTCCCGAAGGCTGTGCTGGACCTCGAGCCCCCATGGGTCAATGTGCTCCAGGAGGATCATGTGATCCTGAAGTGCCAGGGGGCCCACACCGCTGCAGACCATGTCACCCAGTGGTTCCATAATGGGAGCTCCATCCCAACCCTGGTCAACTCCAACTACAGCTTTAAGGCCAAAAAACAGGACAGTGGGGAGTACAGGTGCCAGACCGGCCAGACCAGCCTCAGTGACCCTGTGCATCTGGACGTGACTTCCGGTCAGTGGAGGAAGGGCCCAGGGAGGGACTGGGTGAATAAGGAAAGATGAAATCTGCTAACATGGCAGAGGTTTTTAGGGAAGGGGGGTAGCCTGTTTCCTGGGAAGCAGGGCTGTGAGTTGTTGGAAGATGTTTTTGTCCACTCACTTCCCTTTTCATCCACTCCCTTTGCTTAGTATGTGTGGTGGCAGTGGACAGTCCTAAGAGATTCCTCAGTCCTCACTTTTGCCTCAATCCTGATGGAGCAAGGTTACAAGGCTACAGACAAGCATGTAGGGTATGAGAGAAGCAGAAGGAAATTCTGACTGCCTAAAAACCCATTTTTGTAGCCATCACAAAACATAGACAGACTACAACTGGGTCTTCAGCCTGGACACCACGAGCCATGGTGATTCATCTGCCCTTGGATTTGATTCCTTGTCTACTCATGGGGGTATTAATGCCTCCCTCCCCAGGTTCTTGTGGGAATCAGCATCTCCCTGCCCCCATGCAACTTGACCTGAAAATTGTGTTGATCTTTTTTTTTTCCTCATTAGAGAGAGAGGGGGAGGGAAGGGCAGAGGGAGAGGGAGAGAGAGAATCCCAAGCAGGCTCCACACCCAGCACAGAGCCCAAAACAGGGCTCCATCTCACAACCCTGAGCTCATGACCTGAGCCAAAACCAAGAGTTGGACACTTAGCCGACTGAGCCACCCAGGTGCCCCCTGGAAGCTGTGTTTTAACTATGTTTGCATTTCTAGCCCCTGACAAGGGCAGGGTTTAATAAATATTTGTTAAACAAATGAATGATTTTACAAAGCTTCTGGCAAAAAAGTAGAGCCACCATGCGATGACAATGAATATTGTCATCGTCACTCTTCATGGAGGCCCTTTCCCTCCCCAGACGCCTACATTTTCCTCAAAAGCACACAGCAGGCCTGTCACCCCCACCCTCTCCAGGCAGCAGGAAGTGACAGGCCCAGAGGGAAGCTCCTGAGGCCTGACATCTGTGCCCCTGCCCCTGCAGGAAGGCAAGGAGGTGAGGGCATCCCACCCCCTGAGACTGAGTGTGTCCCCACGTAGCCCCTGGCATGTGAAGAAGGTGTGGGCATTATCGCTTCTCCGAAAGGCTTCCGGGAGAATGCAGAGGAGTTTTGTTCCCAGATGGGTGGGAAAGCCCTTCTATTACTTGAAGAACCTCTCATGAGTGCCACAGAGAGGAACCTGACCCTGCCTTTAAGATCTGCACCAAGACAAATGTTCTTAAGGAGTGCTAAGTTGCCCCCCTTGCACAGACCAGCCGAAGGCAGATAGTCCCCATTATCCAGGTTATAACCAGGTAGCAGCAGAGACTCTGCAGAAGAAAAACCATTCCCAGCCGTGTAGGTCTTCTGTGATGGGGATTCCCTCGGCAGGGAAGAAAAGTGCCGGAATTGGTTGCTGGTGCTACATGGCAACATTGGTATTTTCTCTGGGTTCTACTTTATTTTTTTCAACGCTTTACACATCTCGGCATCCCCACCTGCCCTAATCCAATCTCGTGAGAGAGGCAGTCTAGGGAATCAGGACGGCTCAGCCTCATCCTGGTGCGTAGTGCCCAGCCAGGGTCTCGGTCCTCCAAGGGGAGGACTGTGCAGTGTGGTAAGGCAGGGATTTGGGTGGAAGGTAGACGTGCCTCCCTGACAGGAGGGCTGGGGTTTTCCAGCTCGTGGCACCCAAGGAACAGGGTCTGGTGCCACCCTCCACCCCTCGAATTCCCGCTGTAGCTGCAGCTGACTTCTCTGTGTCGTCACTTACTCCCTTGGTACTGACCATCTCCTCCTGCATCCGTGGCTGTGTCCCCAGCCAGTGCTGAGACTTGGTTGGCCTCGTCACTCTTCTTGCACCCCGCCCCCCTGCCCTCACTCCCTTCTAATTCTTTTTTTTCCCCCCCAAGATTTCATTTATTTATTTGAGAGAGAGGGAGAGCATGAGCTTGGGGGTGGAGGCAGTCACAGGAGGAGAGGGGGAAGCAGGCTCCCCACTGAGCAGGAACCCGACACAGGGTCTCGATTCCAGGACCCCGGGATCATGACCCAAGCCGAAGGCAGACGCTTCACCCAGTGAGCCACCCAGGTGCCCCCCTTCTGATTCTGCTGTTGTCTTCTCCTCTAACTCTCTTTCCAATTCCAGCTCTGCTCCATCCTCCAGCTTTAGGGAAAAGGAGCATGTGAGCTGAGGTCAGGAGTACAAATTTCTACCTTAGGCTTTATTCCCTACACAACATACTAAATATTTCGTCTTCCTCAGTCAGAGGATGAACATCGGGAGGGAAAAAAGACAGCAGGCCAATGACCTCAAAGACTCTGCTGAAGTAAAACTCCACATTTACCAAATTACATCAAATAAGCTAATACTTCTTGGAGGTCCATGACCTCTCACTCTTCCGAAAGACTTGTCTCTGCTGTGTCCCCTCACATGTTATCTCCTAGGTCAGACTGCACCCTGGGCTCTCTTCCTGAAAGAGCCTGTTGGGCAGGACAGGGCAGCAGCTGCCTTCTCCCAGGACAGGAAAGAGAAGACAAGCTTATCCTGAACACCTACTATGTGCCAGGAACTGCTGTAGCTGCGTGAAATTGTTATGTCCATCTTCACAGAGGAGGAACCCAAGACCTAGAAGAGGCCCATGAAGTCAGAGCTCCCCCAAAATGGAGCTACCCTGAGACACCAGGTGTCAAGCTCTTCCCTCCGCCCACAGCGTGTCTCACCAGTAAGGATGGCCTCAGAGATGAGTCAAGACCTCCCAGGTCCTAGGGTCCCTTTGTGTCTTTCAGACTGGCTGCTGCTCCAGACCCAACGCCTGGTGTTCCAGATAGGGGACCCCATCGTGCTGAGGTGCCACAGCTGGCAGAACCGGCACCTGTACAAGATCACCTTCTTCCAGGATGGAAAATCCAAGCAGTTCTCCTCCCTGAATTCCACATTCTTCATCCCAGAAGCCAACCTCAGTCACAGCGGTGACTACCACTGCACGGGAATGATAGGCCAGATGCGGCGCCTCTCACAGCCTGTGGCCATCACTGTCCAAGGTGGGAACTCCGTCAGGATGGAGGGAGGAGGACAGTGAGGGGATGGGCAATTGTGGCCGTAGGGGCCTCCTGGGAGATCTGAGAAATGTCAGAGCACACACATGTGGGCACAGAGGCAGAGCGGGGAGGAATGGGGCGTGATGAATATTGGCCCTGGGCAGCAGGAGGGGCTAGAGCTCCGAGTCAGGTCACATGTTATGTCCGTTCACTCCCCAAGACATGACTTGTCCCCAACAGTTCTAGCCCTTGTGGGATTGAGTCTCGGAGCCTCCAAATAGGGGAGGCTTTGGGTCCCCCTCCCTTCTCTCTCTGAGCTCAGGCCCCACACACTCAGTAGTCTGCCTTTTTTGGATGAGCGGAGACACCTGTTGGCAGGGAGGCACAAGTCCAGCTGCCGTGTCATCCCCACAGATGAGGTTTGGGGAGGACCCAGACAAGGGACAAGGGACAAGGGACCCAGACACAAAGCAGCTCCTGGAGAGAAGCCTTGGAGTACAGGGTGGGATGTGGGAGGCTGCTGTGTGTCCTGAGGTCTGTCTCCCCCAGAGTCCGACCGGAGCGACTCCTCCGTGATGACGACGGTCGTGGCTGCAGTCGCTGGCTCGGCAGGAGTGGCCATCCTCGTGGCTGCTGTGGCCTGGTTCCGCCTCAGGCAAAAGCAAACTTCAGGTTCGTGGCTTTTCTGGGTTCCTCTTGCTGTCAGTTCCTACTTGGCCCAGGCTTTAACCCCAGCCATAGCCGGGACCCTCCTCTTTGGGCTCAGAGAATCCTTATAGTTCAGATATAGCCCCATGTTTTATTTGTTAATTCATTCACTTTTTTTTTTAAAGATTTTATGTATTTATTCATAAGAGACAGAGAGAGAGAGGCAGAGGCAGGCTCCCCGTGGAACAGGGAGCCTGGGATCATGACCTGAGCCAAAGGCAGGAAGGCAGACGCAGACGTAGCAGACTGAGCTAAATAAATTCATGCATTTATTCAACAAGGCTTGAAAAAACTTGCTTATGGGTCCAGCACTGTGTTAGGCACCCTGGGTGGTAAGAAGTCCAGTCCCTGCTCTCCAGGGACTCCCAGTGCGGTGGGGAAGACAGGACAAGTAAATCATTAAAGTTAGGTGGGATGAAAGCTGTAGTCGAGTCACCAAGGCTGTGATGGGGGGAGGGGGGCCACGAGAGCCCACGTGATGCAGCCCAGGCGAGAGGTTAGAGAAGCTTGCAAGAGGCAGTGGTATATGTAGTGACCAAAACACACGTAGGGGGAGCCGGACCGCCCACCCACCCCCGATTAAATCTCAGCTCCACAGCTCACCAGCTGTGTGACCTTGGGTGAGTTCTTCACTATTTCTGTGCCTGTATTGATTCATCTGGAAAATGAAGGCACTAGTAGGACCTACCTCACTGGATGGTATGGGGTTGAGCAGGGCTGAGCACTCAGCCCAGTGTGGGGCACATAACAGCACACGAGAGAGAGCCGCTCTCCTGACAGAGGAGGGAACGTGTTGGAGGGTAGCTGGTAGCCATCAGCCAGACAGAGAGGCCTGGAAGAGCATTGCTTGGCTGGGGGCCAAGGCACAGAAGGAAGGGCACTGTGGCTGGGACAGGGGCTGGGGGAGGAGCGAGGAGGGGGCGGTAAGGGCTGTGCAGTTGGAAACCAAAACCTGCAAGGCACAGGGAGGGCAGATGAGGCTGGGCAGACACGTGGGCAAGGGCCGGGTCATGCAGACCACAGAGGCCACATTAGAGAACAGAAACTGTGTTCCAGAGTGGGTGGCAAGACGACGGGAAGGAAGTCCCGGGAAGTCCTCGTTCATGTCCCCTCCTCGCCCCTGCTCCTAGCGCGGTTTGCAGGCAGGGAGACCGGGTCACTGAGCGTCTGTTCACAGACGGGTGCCCTGAAGAACTCCGACTCTTGGAAAGCGGTTCCTTCCCGCTTGTACCACCCTGAAGGAGCTGAGAAGGAGGCGAGGAGCCCTAGAAATGGAATAAGCAAGTTGTCACGGTTCATCGCCTGGAAAGCTAGCTTGGCAGGAGAGAAAGTCTAAAGACACCCGGAGATAGAAGAGGAGGAAGAGGAAAAAAGACTTGGAGCCACAGGGGAGGAGAAAAGATGCTCCTCGTACCTCACAAGGCCCTTTGGGTCAGTGCACAGCCAGGCTCCCCACCGAGATGCATAGAGACTCTGAGAGGGAGGGAAAAGAGCTTTTTACAGGGCAGGGCAAGCCTGAGAAAGATACGGCTAAATGGCCTTTCTGACAGTCCCAGGGGTCCCCATGGTTAACGCAATGGCCCTTCTATAGGGTGGGCAGGTCTGGGGCAGGAGAGGAGGAGGAGGAGGAGGAAGAGAAGCATCTCCACGGGTGTGGGGGAGGGGAGGGTCTCTGTTGGTTCTAACCTGTTCCTGCCCCTGGTCCTTGCCTGAGGACTCAGGCCCCACCCTGTACCTCTACTAACCTCCTCTGTGCCCCTCATAGCTCCCCTAGGAAACCCCAAGCACAGGGAAATGGGAAAGCCCCTCCCTGAGGAACCAGGTGAGTGCTGTTCCCTGCTTGGGGGCTCAAGGTGCCCTGCCTGGGGCTGCCAGGTGGATTGGAGCCCACAGCAGGTAGCTTGTGTGAGTTCAGCTGGGAGCACAGGAGAGGGAGGGGGCGGTGGAGGAGGGCAGGGGCTCAAATCGCTTGGTCCGTTCTGAGACTAACTCCTGGGCCTGAAGAGGACCTCACTGGGGATGAGAGGGAGAGGACCACCTGCTGCAGATAGAGAGGGGAGGGTTGTGTCCAAATTTTGGAACCGGGAATGCTGGGAACGTTTCCAGAACAGGACATCAGAGACGTTTGGGTCCTTCTGTGGGGTTTGGCAGAGCTGGCACAGGCCAGAGGTTAGGAGTGGTGAGACTGAGACACACGGGAATAAGAGGAAAAGAGAGGGAGACCCAGGAAATGATCCCTGGACAGGTTGAGGAGTCTGTCTCAGGGAGTGATGGGGGAAGAATGAGGCATTATGGGGACATGTGGGCTGGAGAAAGTTCTAGGGGACTGGGTGCATTCCCGGGCTTCACTGCTGGGCAGAGTTTGGCTCTGGTGCCCACGTGTGTAAGTTTATTAAACATGGGCCTGGCCATTGCTCTGTCACCAGCAGCAGGTGGAAACTTGCACGTTCCCCACTATGGCATGCAGTCACCTCCCTGAGGAAATGGGCGGATTGGCCTGATGACCTCAAAGCCCTTCTGGGTCTGACATTCTGAGAGTCCATGACTCTCCAACCCCTGGCCCAGGTGGGAGCAGGAGTATCCCAGGTGACCTCCTGCCTCTAGCTAAGCGAGAGCACCAGGGAACCTGGAAATTTCTCGAGGGGCTCCTGGCTAGCAGAAGCAGAGGAAAAAGAGGCCCTCAGGGGCTCTGTGTCAGTGGGCTGGAGTATGACTCAGAGCGGAACCAACAGATTCGAGAGCTTGAGCGCAATGGCACTTGTCCCGCTGTGCTTTGAGCAAGGCCCTTGTGTTCTTGGCTGTGACCAATGGGATGCAGGCCTGAGCCCGGGCCAGGCCAAGCCAGATCTAGAGAAAAGCCCAAACACAGCTGGAACAGCCCCTTGGAGGTTTGGCTCTGTCTCCACCGGCACAAATCCATTTCACCAGCACTCCTGCCACAGCGAGGCAGGGGTCTTACGGTTTCCCATCAGTGAGCTAGGTCACTAGGATCGTTGAGAATGCATTAGAAGGAGAATTCAGGGGGTGCTTTGTTCCAGAATCTGGAGCATGGCAAACAGAGACTGTGTGCAGGGTGGGGGTGGGGGTGAGTGGAGACACTGGAGGCACTGTCTCACCCTCCCACCCCCACCCCTGCCTAAGGAATGCTGCTTTGCAGATACTGAGACTACTTTTCACACAGAGAGTGAGTGAGTGAGTGAGTGAGTTCACTAGCAAAAAACATGTGGGAATTTGGTGTGTTTTAGCTATTTACCCGGGAAAGTCCTGGTTTGTTGGCTTGCTTCCTTCCCTCCTCCGCTCGCTTTCACTGTTGCGCTTTCTTCCGTTTTAATGTGGCGGAGCCTCACGTTCTTCAAAGGCCCCGCCCCCCCAACCTGCTGCATAGGGCCAGTCTGAACCGCCCCCCAGTCTTCTCTCCCTGAAGACTGTGGCCAGCAAAAAACTGAACTTGACCTCCCGGTGATACTGAACATCCCCCCATCTCTTCCCCAGGATCTCCGGTTCCTAAATCTGGCGGGTTGGTTTCTAGAAAAAGTCAGCAATTCTCTGAAAAGCATGCAGGGCAGATGAGGGCCTCCCTCTGCCCGTGTGGCCAGGAGCAGAGGCTGAGTCTGCGCAGAGAACTCGGTCTGCAGGTCCTTGTTTCTTCGTGTCTGGTTGGGGCCTTCGTTCTGTAGCGGCCACCACCGTGCAGTGGGCTGATCTCTGTTCTAATTTTTTTTTTTTTAAAGATTGTATTTATTTATTTGAGAGAGAAAGAGAGAGTGAGCATGAGTGGGGGTGGGGGGCAGAGGAAGAGGGAGAAGCAGATTCAGGGCTCCATCCCAGGACCTTGAGATTGTGACCTGAGCAGAAGGTTAACCCTTGACTGACCGAGCTCCCACGCGTCCCTGACCTCTGTTCTTTCTGCCCACAGCCTATGTCACTGATACTGAAGAGGCTGCCAAAATTGAGGTGAGCCACCCCAGCCATCTCCTCCTTCCACCTCCTCCTCTGCTGCCTTCATTCCTGTGAATTACTCCCTTCTGCGTTCCCTAGGCTGAGAATACCATCACCTACTCACTTCTCTTGCACCCGGAGGAAGAGGCAGTGGCAGAGGCAGAGGCAGATTACCAGAACCAAATTTAGCCTCCATTATCTTGCCTGCGGCCCTGGGGGAAAGAGAATCAGAGACACCAGGACGCCTGGCCCAGTTCCCCTGAGGGAGGACAAGAGGACTGCAACGGTTCCAACGGAAGAGAAGGACCCTTCCAGGGACATCTGTGTGAATCCTGAAGCTTGAAGTCCTAAAAGTCACAGAGAGTGTGGTGCCAGATGACTGACTGTCCTGGTTCCTTTTGAGTCTCAGCACTTCTTGCCATCAAGACTCTCTTTCTGTAGAGACCATGTATTACTTTTATAATAAAATATAGAAAACAACATGCCCTTTACCTTTCAAAGGCTGTACTGGTTGGAGTGTGGATTGATCTGTTTCTTTTCGAGGATAAAAATCTTGGGACGGTGGTAGTGGGTAAGGTGAAGGAGAGGGAAGCTTTGGAGTGTACAGTGAGTGTCTTCTCCTTCTTCTTTCTTTCTTTCTTTTACTTTGTTATAAACATATAATGTATATTTATCCCCAGGGGTACAGGTCTGTGAATCGCCAGGTTTACACACTTCACAGCACTCACCATAGCACATACCCTCCCCAATGTCCATAACCCCACCCCCCTCTCCTGATCCTCCTCCCCTGAGCAACCCTCAGTTTGTTTTGTGAGATTAAGAGTCACTTATGGTTTGTCTCCCTCCTGATCCCATCTTGTTTCATTTATTATTTTCCTGCCCCCCAAA